CCTGTTACACAAAACAGGTGTTCAACAAGTATCTGTGAAACAAATGGAACGACTACCGGGAAAAGCTCAGAAGGCCACGGTTCCTGCCACCACAAAGGACTGAGGAGGGTCGAAAGAGGAAAAGGCAGCCATCCCCTTACCAGTTTGCAAACGCAGTCCTGACCTCCTCAGTTTCAAGCTACACAGTCCACAAGTGTCTTCCAAGAAGGAGCAGGCACGTTTAAAGCTTATAGAACTAAGAAACTATTCATGGGACATTGGCTTGGCTTTGGGAGTTTGGCTATTATTATTATTTTGCAAAGTTTGGGCAAAAAAGAATTAAACAGGCCACTCAGAATACATGGAGAAAACATCTCACATATGCCTATCCTGATGTGCACGCTGATCTAAAAGCAAGTCGAGCAGGAGAAGGGACATCCATCTGACCACCAGCTGGTTGAATGAAATTTTGTCCTGAGTCCCATCTATTCTAAGCCAAAGTGACAGACACAGCCTGGGGTTTCTACTTACAGTTCAGATGTGCACAGCCCAGCAGCAGCTCTCCCCTACTCTTCTGCAAGTTATTTTACTTTGCTTGGAAGCTATATGTATATATTTCTAAACCAACAGAGTTCACTTCACTGACTTTGGAAACAACTGTCTTAGGACTAACCCTGACTCATAGGGAGACCTAAGGAAGAACCAGGAGTGAGTACTTCCCTTCTCTAGTGCTCACTCCTAGTGAGGGTAGATACCCTTTGTTTTCATCTGCCCAGCATCCTTACTGCCTTCGGGGAACTCCCTTCTTTGTCTGCGTCACACAGGCAGAGGTACTGATCTCCACATCTACCAGCATCCTGACCCCAGGGTTGGCCATGTGACTCCAGATCAGCCAGTCTTAGCGCTCTGCGCCTCTAGCAATAGAGATTGGTCCAGGTGTAGTCGTCTAATCTAAGCAAGGCCAATCAATCAAAGTCTTGCCTGGGTTGATAAATGGGCAATAGAAATTTATAAGCTGGAAAGTATGAGAATCTAGAGCTGTAGGTGACAAGAGCCTGTCCATAAGATGGAGCCAATACCCCGAAGGACAATGAACTAAGCGGTGAAGAGAGGCTGAGACCTGAGGTCACTGTTAGACGCCTGAACCCAGCTGTATCTGAAGGCAGTCATTCCGGGACTTGCCAGGCTCACACAATTTCATTCGTTTGTTCATTTATGCTTAGGTTAGTTTTAAGTTGGATTTCTATAACTTACAAGGAAAAGTGTAATGAATATNCCCTGAACCCAGCTGTATCTGAAGGCAGTCATTCCGGGACTTGCCGGGCTCACACAATTTCATTCGTTTGTTCATTTATGCTTAGGTAGTTTTAAGTTGGATTTCTATAACTTACAAGGAAAAGTGTAATGAATATAAATGAATATAAAATGATTTTATATTCAAGTTATCTTCATGAAGCACAATGGAATAATCAGTGCCATTACTGATGGAACCCCCTTTTGGAGTGAGGACCTGTACCGGGACAGTGAGCGAATCTCATTTGAACACCCCACTTAACAAATGAAGATGATTAGCTCAGGGAAAGCCTATTCTAGAATGTCCTACTGTTCCTGTGTGGACTAGGAAGGCAGGAGTCTTGGAAAGAAGGGTTGCCTCCATAAATGTTTCTGCCCAGTCAGAGGCATCAAGGATAGTGATTTACCATCCTTAGTGTAAGCTGTGGGTCACCTGGGGGCCTTGTTAAAATTCGGCAAGTCTAGAGTGGGCCTTGAGTGTCTGCATGTCCAACAAGCTCCCAGTCTGGTGCTTCTGGCCGGGGAACCACATTTTGAGACTAGCAAGGCTGTAGGACATAAGACATTCATAGTTTGCTAATTAATTAGTAACAGACAAATTGATGAGTGAACAAGCAAATGAATCAGAAAGGAGAAAGTAGATTAAGATGAAAACTCTATTACCCCAGGCTAGACTACAGTCAGAGACTATGCCTCCAGACTCTAGACTTGACCTTCCCCCTCCCCCGATAAGTTCCTTTTGATTCTTTTTACTCTGTTATCGCTCCTCTGTGACCAGGCAGTAGAAGGATCAAAGTCACTATCTCTGGTGTAATCTCTGAGCCTCAGTGTCCAAATCTGTGCAATAGGAATGATATTGCCTATCTCACAGTTGTTGCAAGGACTAAATGGCTCATTCCAGGAGCTCAAGAAATGCTGGCTATGGACTATTATTCATCTTAGGGAACTTGAAGTGATAACAGATTCCTCTCCTTCATGGGGAGAGAAATATTACTTGCATTTTATGTGCTGGCTCTGTCCTAAAGCATCTGAGGTCCATAGGGTTATGCCAATTTTACAGATTGGGAAACTGAGCCTTAGAAAGAATAAGTGACTTTTACCCAAGGTCACAAAGCTAAGTATGTGGTAGGAACGAGTTGTGTGTTGTTCCAAAGCTGTATTCTTCTCTGGCCCCCCCATCCTGCCTCACCCCTCTGCCCTGGTTGTGGGCAACATGCCTGTTTGAACACAGTGCTCCATCGTCACAGGCTATGGGTATTAGCAGTCAAGACTCCAAGTCCGACCCACGTCCAGAGCTCATTCGTTGGCTATGAAGACGACAGGCTATTTACACGACACAGATCTGGGATGGCAAAGTCCTTAGTGCCTGTTTGTCTGCTCCCACTCAGACCTTTAATGAGTCAGTGATGGTCAAACCCAAGGACAGTGTGTGCCCAGCTCACTCCAACTTACCGGGAAGGTGTCTCAAGCCCTGAAGGTCACTGGGTAAAAGTGTCAAAGCAGACAGACAGATGACCTCTCTCCTCCTTGCAGGAAGGGGCTGTTTGTTGAGCAAAGGGCTCAGGGCATCCTCTCCAAGTCCCACACAGGCCTGAATCACCAGCCCTGCTTTCCAACCACAGATGTTTTCTTGCTCACAGCCAGGTTCCAAATGAGGCAGGATCTGCCAGATTGAGCTCTAGAAAAGCCTGAGCGGAAAGAAATGTGAATCTGAAATGTTGTTTTCACCACTGTAAACCCAGCTCCCTGGTCCCGAGCCCAATACCGCCTCACTATTACCCCACCTCGGGCAGAGCTGGCTAACCGCTCCCCAGAGATTCCCGACTCCCCTTCCATGGAATCGTCCCTGGCGCGTGGTTGCCATGTCAGTGATCCCATTTCCCAGCACCCCTTGCTTTTGTGGGCTTCATGTGACCACTCCTCACCGATGAGCAGAAGTGATGTGTCTTCCTCCTGGGCCAAGGCATGCCTTCTCCCCCTCTCTCTTCATCCTAGAGAGAAAGAAGCTGCAGGTAGGAGAAGTCACTTGGGCCTCTGACTCACCACATGGAAGGCTTCCTGGGGACCGGGAACACCCACCCAGACAGCTTGGTGAGTGAGAAGTAAAGCTCTGTGACTTTGAGGCCACTGAAACTTTCAGATTTGTTGGTTATAGCAACCGACGTTCTCGTCAGCACACGCTAGGGCCGGGAGAGCAGCGTAAGCTCTGGCTGGACCCGACGCTGCGCTCAGAACCTCCTCGCCGGACTCTCACGGAACGCTCCCGCCGTCCCGGCAGATACCCGCCCATTGCAGGCCGCAGCAACCTTCGTTCCCCGACGCCAAATCATTTGTCCCCGATCATATGGCTAGGAAGTGGCAGGCGGCAGAGGCAAACGAATTTCTGTCTGGAATGTGTAAGAAGCCTTCCCTTTGCCACCTCTAGACAGTGTGACCCTGAAGGTCCATCAGAAAGGGCATCTTTCCACAGTGGTCCCCAGGCATGACCCACCATCTGAACCCATTTACTGGTTTATGGGACTCCTCTCCCACAGCCTCCAACTCGGGGTCTGGGAAAAACGAGGACAGGGAGGAAGAATGAAAACTGATTCCTCACCCCTCTTACCAGGCCAGCCCTGGAATGAGGGGAGCCCTCCCAGGGGTAGAAACACGCCTCCTAATCCCTCTCCCCTAGGTCTGGCACTGACCCCAAAGAGTAGCAGCAAGTTTGGTCGGAGTCCCTTTGGAGTGGAACGTAGTTTGTTCAAATGAGTCTTAAACTTGCTGTTGGCAGGTCATAATAAAACAGTTCCAGTAAATTTCCCAATTGAGGTGACTCAAAGTATTTAAATTAAAATTTACCAAGGTGGCCAAATTGCAAGGTGTGAGTTACGCTGTACTGAGATTCAGGGCAGGCTCACCAGACACTGGCAATAACGTACGCAAATGGGTAAAAATATTGAGCTTGGAGTAAGAGGCTGGAGGTCCAAGGCCCGACTCCCTGGCTTAATGTCTTGAGGAAGATAGAACCTTTCAGAGTCACAGCTTCTTCATTTCTGAAAACGGGATGAGGGTGGGGAAGGTGCCACCCCATCTTCCCTACAGTGTTTTCAGGAGAGCTCCCTGTCTTTTTCATCTTAATGTTCAGCGTCTTTGGGCTTCAGCAATCGTACCTGAACTATTGCAATTGGCCCCGGAGGCGGGGAGAGAGCGGCTCCAGTGCCTTCTGCTCCTGTTTCCCTCCTCACTGTACCTAGTTCACCCATCAAGAGTCCCTCAGCATCCCTAGGGTAAAACCCAAGCTCCTTAGACTGCCATTCAAAGTATTTCATGGTATAACCCTGACCTTCATTTCTACTGTATATTTCTTTACTCCAGTCCTTCCTCCTACACTTGATCCCAATGACAAGTCTCACACTTCCCCTGTGCCCCTTCCTGCTATTTATTCCTTTTACTCCCCTGACATGCAATTCCCTATCTTGTTACACATTCCAACCTTACCCATCTTTCAAGGCCGATGTCAACACACCCACTTCTAGAAAAGCTCTCCCGATATCCACAACTGAGATTAAAAATATATCCTACCCTGGTGCCCTGAAAGAGGAAATGGGTTTTGCTAGCCGTAGACACTGCCTCATGCAGTGTGTCGGGGGGATGGGTTCATTCCCAGTTCCAGGTCGCCCGAGTCCTATGAGAATTCCATACCTCAGTCAGCTGCTCTGCAATAGCCGGGGATGGGTACAGTATCTGTTCCTGGCTGAATAAGGCACGGGCTATTTCAAGAGAGGGGAATCCAGCGGAAAGGCAGGGACTTCCAGTATATCTGGAGGGAGGTGGAAGCCAGGTGAAAAGACATTAAAAAAGACATTCAGCTAATGAAGCTGAAAGAGCATTGAAACAGTGTAGTCTGAAGAAAAGAACTCCCTGCTGCTCCCACCAATGATCCTTCGACCAGTGCAAGGCCATCAGCAGCCTCAGTAGCGAGCTGCAACAAGCCAGTGTTCATTTTCTGTAAAGTTTTGACCTGCTGGATCCAACTGTTTCCATTGGTCATTGTTTCTGGTTCTCATTAGTTGACATTTATTTTAATTACTCTGTGACTCTATTTTTTCCAGAACACAAGGATTTAAGGTTCAAATACTTTCATCTTTTCTTTATGATTGGTTAATTAACCAGCCCTGAGTAGGGGGGTGAGGAGTGTAGGAAACTTTAAAACTCCTTTTTCATGTAAATGTGTAGACCACTTAACAAGAAAACTCAGAGGTCCTTTGTAATATTTGTACTTGATGGTGTTTTACTTGGGAAATGCTGTTGAGCCAGCTCTGATCTTAAGTTTTAAAGCATTTCATTAAAATAAAAAAAGAAAACATAAAATTTCATAATATGAATTAGCTTCATCTTGCATGTGTGAGACACAGAAAACAAATCAACCCTGAAGCAATTAAAATTTCCCCATCAACACTGAGTATATAACATTTATAGCCAAACATCCTTTGTCCAAATATATTGTACTTTTAACTTTAAACTACAGGGAAATAAATTATTTAGACACTCAATGGGAAAAGAAAATAAATCCTTAAAAAGTATGTATCTAAAGGTGTGGTACATATACACAGTGGAATACTACTGAGCCGTAAGAAAAGACAAAATGTTGCCATTTGTGACAACATGGATGGGCCTTGAGAATATTATGCTCAGCAAAATAAGTCTAACAGAAAAAGCTAAGACCCATATGATTTCACTCATATGTGGGAGATGAAACTGAAACTCATAGACACAGAAAACAGTATAGTGGTTACCAGAGGGAAAGGGGAGGTGGGAGGGGGTGAAGGGAGCCAAATATTTGGTGATGGAAGATGATCTGACTTTGGGTCATGGACTCACAATGCAATATACAGATCATGTATTATAGAAATGTACACTTGAAACCTATATGATCCTGTGAGCCAATGTCACCCCAACAAATTTAATTTTAAAAAAGAATGTATCATGGAAAGCATTTGTAATGCAAGTATAAATTGGTATTTTATGTCCATTCATATGATTTAATATTATGAGTCAAGATAGTGTTACATAATTCACTCATGAGCTGCAAGGGCGAATGGGTAACGTACATACATATGACATCAGTCGTGGGGTAACTCCTGCACTGTTAAGGGGCCATATATCTTTTCCCTTCCTTTTGCTTTCATTTGAAGGGAGGCCGCCTCTGTTGACTTCCATAACTGGGTTGATCACTTCCAAGTCTATCTCTCCAAAATCCACCTTGCTCTTCAATTTCATACTTATAAATCCAATTCAATGTTAGACACCTCTATTTCCAGAAGGACCCAGGTTTGCCTGTCCTAAAAGTAGCCTACCATCATCTCCCAAAACTTCTTTTTTTCCCGTGTGTTTTCTGAGAAAGTATTCAAATGTTCATTGAGTTATTGAGGGAGGTAGAGATTCTTTTTTTTGTTTTCCTCATTTTTACCTCCACAGATTATTATGATCCTTGATGTACACTTATGTTTATCCCACTTCACCTCCCCCCAAAATATAGAAGTGACTTTTTAAAAATCTGCTATGTAATACAATGAAAATGGTCAAAGAAATCATGGGAATGGCAAACTAATTAGAAAAATTGAATGAAGCTGGGGAAGGCTGATTCCCAGCACTGTGTAGCAGGAAGTTGGGACACAAATTAGGTTCTGAGTTTTCTGAAAGCTAAAGCAAAGTGAGAAACGCTGATCAAGGATGTGTGATTCATAGTGTCTGTCAGATGAAAGGAAATATATTATTTCCAGCTGTTCAAGAGGAACATGATTTTATTTTTATTTTTTTATATATTTTTATTGATTTCAGAGATGGGAAGGAAAAGGGAGAGAGAGAGATAGAAACATCAGTGATGAGAGAGTCATTGATCTGCTTCCTCCTGCACACCCCCTGCTGGGAATCGAGCCCGATACCCAGGTACATGCCCTGACCGGGAATCGAACTACAATCTCCAGGAACATAGGTCGATGCTCAACCACTGAGCCACACTGGCCAGGCAGGAGCAAGAAGCACGATTTTATTATATAACAAGAGCAATGCCAGCAAATGAGGGCGGTATGGACTTTCATGCAAGATGACTTAGGCCAAATGAAACCTCCTTGGTTGCCTATCTTGTCCATTTCATAATTAGATACTTGACAATAGGCTTAGGTAAATACCTTGGTGAATACTTAAATTAAGTTTTCCTTGATGATTCTGAAAAAGAGTGAAAATGGGCAAAGAATTGCCTTAGGTCCATGGTCTTTCCTATTTCTCTGAGTATGTGATTCTAGTGAGCATCTTAAAATGAAATGTTAGTCTAACATAAAGCAGATTTAACTGAAGCAGGTTCCCGGGTGGTCTGGCTTCAATTCATCTCTTGCCATGTAGTCTTGAAACCATCAAGACTGCACCACTTACTGTCCCTCGAGCACACAGCACCGTCACCCCTCACGCCTTCCCTTGCACTGCATCCTCTACAAAGCACACCCTTACCCCAATTCTCCTCTGCTTCCTATTGCAGTCCATCTTACACAACCCAAAACCCATTCCTAAACTTTTCCGACTCCAGAATTAGGAGCTCCCTCCTTTAGCATTTATCCATAGTGTACCAAGGTGTCCCTTTAAGTGGCTGCTACCACATAGAGCAAGTTATTGAGCACTTACTATGTCTTTTAAGTAAGCACTGGGCTTAATGCTTGAATATGTATCATTTTTTAATTCTTATATCAGTGTTCTGTTGCTGAATGACAAATGAATAACAAAACTTGGAGACCCTAAACAATAAGCATTTATTGTCTCACAGTTTCTGTGGATCAAGAAAGTGGACGTGGCTCAGCTGGATGCCACGGGGTCAAGGCCTTTCATGAGGTTGCACCCAAGGTGCTGGATGGGGCTGTGGACTGAGCACTGAGCCTTAATATCAAGTCATCTTCATCTGCAGGCTGGAAATCTGGTAATTTGTACATGGAAAGTCATTTTGCTATGTTTTTTAACTTTTGTGTATGTTTGACATTTTTCATAATGAAAGGTAAAATAAAATCTGAAGATACATGAAGTATCTAAGTCAGGTTAGGAGGGAGGAAGAAAATACAAGGACAGTACTTCAGTGAATCCCTAGGATGCCTCTTTGAAGGAGGCTTTAATGTCCCACTTTACAGATGAGGAAACGGAAGCTCATTGCGATTAGGAGATTCTAGAACTCGGATTCACAGCCTTGTCTGTTCCACTCCAAAGCCAACGCTTTCCTCACTTTACAGCACACTAGGTTGCACTGGATCCTGGGAATACAGGAGGTTTCATTCATGCCCACCTCACAATGACTCTCGGCCTTCACCGTCCCCCACCTAACGTCTTCCTGAAGTTACCTGGGTGTCTCACCTGCACTGAGCCTTAATACCGAGTCATGCTCATGGTACTCCCAGTGGGCCCGAATTGTTACCCACCTTTTCTGGAAGGGAAAAGAGACTTAGAGAGATGAAGTCCCACCACAAGTCACACAGCTAGATGAGGCGGAGGGAGTTCTGATTGGAATCTAGGACCACAGAACGATTGTTCTTCCTGTCGGTAGAAGTGTCACTGTGGAATGGCGAGCCTATGAATGACCTCACTTACGTATGGAATATAAAGAGCAACGTGAAAGAACAAATGAAATAGAAACAGACACACGGATACAGAGATCAGACTGATGGCTGCCAGAGGGGAGGGGGTTAGGGAACTACGTGAACAAGGTGAAGGGGCTACAAGCTGACAGTTACAAAATAGATCCGGGGCTGCGGAGTAGGCACAGGGACTATACTCAATAATATTATAACAGTATACGGTGCCAGGTGGGTACTGGAAATATCAGGGGGAACAGTGTAAAGTATATGATTGTTTAACCTCTATGCTATACACCTGAAACTAATACAAAATAATATTGAATGTGAATGGTCACTGAATTTTTTAAAATCTGGACTAGCAGTTCAGTAGCCTGGGTGTGAGCCTCCCTGCTGATTACCAATGAGATCCTTCTCAGATTGCTTTCCCCATCTGGCCATTGTCTTCACATCTATACAAGAGAAGCCTGGTCTCAATATCCCCTAAGGTGGGGTTTTCAAACCATAGGTTGGACCCATTAGCAAGTACTGTCATCAAATCAACAGTGTCATCACAGGCATTAAAAAAAAAAAAAAGACCAAAGAAAAGAAAAAACCCATGAGAGTAAAGATGTGTGTTTGCTTATGTGCATTGGACCACGATCTAAGATCAGTTTGTCACAGTGGGGTGCTGTTGAGAGTTTGAAAGTTACTGCTTTAAGGCACCTTTCAGGCGAGGACTTCAGGCTGACTTAGGTCTGACAATTTGTAAATGCAAACCTACTAGTTTCCTATAGACTCTGTAGACCAACAGAAAGAAGAGAACTTGAGAGTCAGACAGACCTGGATTTGACTTCTAGTTCTGTCCTTACGCCCTTGGGCAAGTCATTTCACCTCTTCCAGTTGCAGTTTCATCACCTGTAAAATTCAAGTAATAATTCCCATCTTATTGGACAATAATGAGGCTTAAACAAGAAAATATAAACACTTAGCACATCATAATGCTCAAAAAATGTTACATATAATCATTATTAATTTTAATATTTTCATTATGACCATTATCATTATTTTTAAATCACATTAAAATTACTTGTTCACATTGTCCTTTGCCATTATATTTCCAAAACACACTTTATTTAAAGCAAATTGATTATGTTGACAGCAACTTCAAAGTTAGAACGTGAACCAGAAGATGTAAAGATGATGCCACACAGCTTCCAACACATTTATAAAAGGACTTTCATTCCGTTAAGAGCTATTTGAAAAGAGAACACAGTCTTGAAAGTGGTAACCAAGACTAACCGCTGTAAGGCACCTTACCATTCCAGATGAGATCTTCTTCCCGCACCTCACTCTACCCAGGGCCACGTTCACGGGCAAGTGATCTAGGCAGCTGCCAGGATGCCCCCACTCAGAAGGGCCCTGTGTTGGGCTTAGAGTTCTGTCGGCACCATCTTGAAATTATGAATAATTTTGTCTTTGAACATTTGTAAAGCCTGATGGAACAGGGGAGCCGGCAGGGGAGCCAGAGATATGGACTCTGTACGTGTCTGCTTTACCCTGACCCCCATTCACAGAGTGTCGGCCACGCCTCGCGGGCACAGAATCCCAGAGGATCCACATGCGTGGGAGTTCAGCGAGGCTCCAACCAAGTGTCAGGTCAGTGTGTCACTCCTAGGACTGAGTGAGCTGGGGGTGGGGCGCTGACCCCTCTAAGAGGTCGTGCTTTCTATTGGAACCAGAACTTGCTTCGATCGACGGGCAGCCCTGCCATCTGTTTTAGCTAACGGCTTTAACCACTCCGCTCAGCCTCCTTGCAGTCTGGCCTTACTCATCAGTGAGCCAAAGGCAAAGAATGTCAGTAGAAGGCGAATGTCTCAAAAAGTGAATTACAAACAGTTGAGTTCGCTTCGTGCAGCGTTTATACTGTTCTGATAAGAACGGAAGGTATGTTTGTGTCTAAGCTACGGGACACAAATTTCTAATGCAACGCCTATTCTGAATTCTATTTGGTGATTCCACATAGAAGCGCGTCAGCGAAATGCAGCAAATCATCACAAACACAGTTCCTCGGAGGGGGTCGGAGCAGGATTTTACCAGGAGTGCCCTTCCTGCTTCCTACTTCCCACCCTTCTCTAACTACCTTCTGTCCCAACAGCTGGCTGATGGCTTTTTGCAACAATCTAATCGGTGACAGGCACCCAGGCCAACTTCTCCAGATAGTGACAGATAAATAACAGTGTTGATTTGGGGGCCAGCGTTTGGTAAAAGGCAACGGGGCTGATAGTTCTCGATTGCCATGAGCTCTGGGATGCCTGGGCTCTTTATTTACTTGCCAGCCGGTATATCTTTACAGCCTCCTTCTGCCAAATATCGCTTTCCCTTAGGTTAAGGCTGTATTTCTGGAATACAACTTTTGAACTTTGGACCACAATAAAATCGCTCTCGTTCTTATGAGTTGATTCTTCTTTGTAAAATTGCCATGCTTTCCTTCCAAGAACGTAATTAGAGCAAAGTCATTTTATATGTGTTATAGCCAATATGCAAAAAATCCCCTCGGGCTGATAACCCATAGCCTGGAAAAAACAAACCTAAGCTTGAAGGCAGTCGTTTCCGAACACATGGCTGCACGTGAGAGGGAACTGGGCAGCTTTACAAAGTGGGGGTGCCTGGGTCTCACCCTCCACGATTCTGAAACAATTAGTTTAGGGTATGTCCTGGGCATTAAGAGTTTTAACAGCTTTCCAGAGGTGACCCTACATGTAGCCCCAGTTTCAGAACTGCTTAGAGCCACTGCTGTAGGATCTCACATGTTTAAATTCAGAAGAAAAAATCCACACAGCCAGCCCAATCAGAACATCGGCCTTTGTATCAGTAGGAGACCCTGCTGTCTGAGAGGCCTAGTGCTGGGCCTTTGGGAATGGCAGAGCTGAGTAAGACAACCCCCCAGGCCCAAAGGAGCTTTCAGGATGGAGAGCAAGTGAAAGCATCAGGAAGCTAGTACAAGAGAAGGGACAGTGTTGGGACAATATCTGGAGGAGAGATAGCCAGGAGCCAGCGGGATGTCATACATGTCTGTTGCCTCTGGAAGGGGACTTCCAGGACACTGTGCCAGTGGTACAGGTAAAGCAGTGAGCTCACAAGACAGGGACAATGTCTCCTTTGATTTTGAGTCTAAGTGAGCAACACTATGCTGGCACAAAGTGGGGGGTAATCAACAAATGTTTGAAGAACAAATGAGTGGCCCGATTTGCTGCTAAGATGCTTAAAGGACCAAAACCAAAAAGGTTGGAAAGCTATGCCTGAACCAGGTGGGCCTGGAAAATTCCTGAGCTGGGCAGTTCCATCATCTGAGCTGCTCACCAGGAAATACATTTGGCAAGAGATGCATGTGATTCTTTTGTTGGAGAATAAACCTGGAGGTGATTCGGGAAGCAAGAGGCCAAGACGGGGCTGACATGGACCTGAACTAGGCCAGAGGAAGTGGAGACTAAGTGGAAAGTCATGCTAAGAGACTGTTCACTGATGTGCTTAGGAAAGAGCCTTACCTGAGGCCATCTCACCCACATCCTCTCCTACCCTGAGAACCCATTGTCACCTAATCTGACTCCTTGGGCAGTAAGCACACAGAGATAAGCATCTGCCCCCTGGTCCTTCCCAGTCAGCCCCCTCTGCATTCCCAGAGCCCTCCTATAGGAGTAATAGTAGGTGCTATTTATTGAATACCTACTCTGTGCCAAGTCACACTGGGATGTCTGCCCAACTTTGACAATGCACCCACAGCTGCAGCTGCAAAGATGAGCAATAGGAGAGAGGCATGGAGTTTGAATCCTACCCCTTAGTTACTTGGGCAAGTTACTTAGCCTCGAAGTACCTTTATCGCCTCTAAGACCGGGAAGAGCAGCCATTTGTTCAGAAATGCCAGCACCTTTGAGTGCTCAGAGAGATTCCATTAACCAACTAAGAGGAGACGCGAGGCTGCCCAGGGTGTGGGGTGTCCAGTCCTGCTCCCTGCCCAACCCAGCCCACCAGCTCCAAAAAGAAGGGTTATCTTGAAGAACAGGTCCAAGGGCCAAGCCAGGAGGCTGTTATATTTCCCTCCAGTTGAAGGACACAGTTGCCAAAACACCTCCCTAGAAAACTCTCTGGGGGAGATTTTTTTTATACAACTGACTCAACAGGTTTGACCACCTCCTGTGGACACTCATATCTAGAGGCTTTATCCAAATCCGTCATATCCTTTACCCCATACAAAAGAATCATCTGCACTGATAAAGACAAGACAGAAAATGTTTGATTCCATTTCTTAATAGAAATTCCCTTTTTAAAAATAGCTACTCAGTCATTGAATGTCCGCACATACTACATAGGGAAAGTCCAAATCTGTCATATCCTTTACCCCATACAAAAGAATCATCTGCACTGATAAAGACAAGACAGAAAATGTTTGATTCCATTTCTTAATAGAAATTCCCTTTTTAAAAATAGCTACTCAGTCATTGAATGTCCGCACATACTACATAGGGAAAGAATGAGAATTAGAATTAACAATTGCTCTCCCCTCAGATTAGATTAACCTCCCCAAATCCCAAAGTTTGTCCAGACTGTCTCTGATGGTTCATTTTATATGCGAACTTGACTGGACCATGATGTGCCCAGAAATGTGGTTCAGCATTATTCTGGGTGTGTCTGTGAGGGTGTTTCTGGGTGGGATTAGCATCTGGATTGGTAGGCTGAGTAAAGCAGACTGCTCTCCCTAATGCGGTGGGCCTCATTCGATCCGCTGAAGGCCTGAACAGCACCATGCTCCGAATAGAATAGAATTCATGCTCTCTCCTGACTGTCTCTGAGCTGAGACACTGGTCTCCTCCTGACTTTGGACTCAGACTCGGGCTGGAATTTACACCATTGACCCTCTTGGTTCTCAGGCCTTTGGACTCAGACTTGAACTTCCACCATCATATCTGGATCTCCAGCTTACTGACTGCAGCTGTTGGGACTTCTTAGCCTGATAAGTGCATGAGCCAATTCTTAATTTTATATAGAAAAACTAATTTATATGTATCATTTCATTTATATACATATTAATTAATATGACTGCTTGGGCTGCCATAACAAAATACCATAGACAAGGTGGTTTAAACAACAGGAAGTTATTTCTTTCAGTTCTGGAAGGTGGAAAATCCAAAATCAAGGTGCCTGCAGATTTGGTTCCTGGTGAGAGTCTCCTTCCTGGCTTCCTGCTATCTTGCTGTATCCTCACATGGCATAGAGAGGTGGTGAGCAAACTCTCTGGGGTCTCTTCTTTTAAGGGCACTAATTCCATTATAAGGGTCCCACCCTCATGACCTCATCTAATCCTAATGAATTCCCAAAGGCCCCATCGCCAAATATCACATTGAGGATCAGGGCTTCAGCGTATGAATTTTGGAGGATACAAAGATTCAGTTGATAATAGTATGTTTCCCATTTTATAAATAAGAACACAGAGGCTTGGAAAAATGAGGTGATTGGCCAAGTCACCAAACTTGTAAGAGTCAGAACCAAGCTAACCTATCTCTCACCACCACCATTCTTTCTGCCATGATTATTGTTAGCTAGTTATTCTGACATAGCAAGGACCTCATCTTTAGAAATGGCCAGTAAAGATATGAAAAATTGCTCAACCTTACTAGTTATCTGGGAGTACTAATTAAAATGACAGCAAGATTTCATTTTTCACTCGTCAGATTCACAAAAATTAAAGACTAATAACATCTAGTGTGAGGGAGGGGGAAGGGCGTGCTCTTAAATACCGCTTGCAGGAACACACATCAGTGGACTGTTTCGACGGCAATTTGGCAACATCTATAAAAACTTTAAATGTGCATTCCCTTTGATCAAGCAATTTAGGTACAAAGAGGTACACGCTGCATTTT